CACGCCTTATTGGTCCTTTGAAAAAATATTGTTTTAAAAATCCACGTCTTATTGGTCCTTTGAAAAAATATTGTTTTAAAAATCCACGCCTTATTGGTCCTTTGAAAAAATATTGTTTTAAAAATCCACGCCTTATTGGTCCTTTGAAAAAATATTGTTTTAAAAATCCACGCCTTATTGGTCCTTTGAAAAAATATTGTTTTAAAAATCCACGCCTTATTGGTCCTTTGAAAAAATATTGTTTTAAAAATCCACGCGTTATTGGTCCTTTGAAAAAATATTGTTTTAAAAATCCACGCCTTATTGGTCCTTTGAAAAAATATTGTTTTAAAAATCCACGCCTTATTGGTCCTTTGAAAAAATATTTTTTTAAAAATCCACGCCTTATTGGGCCTTTGAAAAAATATTTTTTTAAAAATCCACGCCTTATTGGGCCTATGAAAAAATATTTTTTTAAAAATCCACGCCTTATTGGGCCTTTGAAAAAATATTTTTTTAAAAATCCACGCCTTATTGGTCCTTTGAAAAAATATTGTTTTAAAACTCCACGCCTTATTGGTCCTTTGAAAAAATATTGTTTTAAAAATCCACGCCTTATTAATCCTTTGAAAAGATATGATTTTAAAAATCCACGTCTTATTAATCCTTTGAAAAGATATGATTTTAAAAATCCACGCCATATTTGTCCTTTGAAAAGATATGATTTTAAAATCCACACCTTATTGGACCCTTGAATAAATTTTATTTTAAAAATCCTCGCCTTAATGGCTCTTCCGATTTTGACCTACCCCTTATTGTGTTACAAATTGAATGATAACCCGAATACACCCTCCATCATATAGTGCAGGACACACAAAAAACACTAGGAAGTAATTCAACAAACCGGAAATGTTTCTTGTTTTCTACAAGAGTTGCGTCGGAAAACAAACCAAAAAATCTGCACCTCTTTTATACTGCTATTCTTTAGTCCTATAGTTATAAATAATGACTACACTTTTTGCCAAAAGCACTACACACACACACAACTTTGTTGTTCTTTTTGTTGTTGTTGTCCTTTTGAGTGCACTCTTCTGCCAAAGTTGTGAGACGCATTCATGTAGTTTTTTTTTGTTTTGAATGTTTGGATTTAGATTTTGTGAGAGTGTGTGCGTGCGCGTGTAATTATATTGTGTCTGTTTTTAATTCCGCAGAAAATTTACACAACAAAGAACACGTTAATTACCCGCAGTTTTTTTGTAGCCGTTTCCATTGTTTAAAAATAAAATTAAATAGACACATATATTGTTTCGTTGTTGTTTTGATTTTGGAAACATTATTCTATGTTGAAGTGGTCAAGCGGTGCTTAAAAGTTTTGCGGATGGTTTTTAGATAATTTAATGTTTTTTAATATATTTAAGTAATTTAATTACATATATTAAATCATTTTTGATAAATTTAACAAAGGGACCACAAATAAGTATCTAGTTTGATCCAAGTCTAGAATTTAAAACAACTACGGACTGACTCTCCATAAAAGATATTCTCCTGTATACAATATCCTGTCGGCACAACAGACATATTATCTTTCAAGCACCATTGGCATAGAATCGGAAGAAATTATACAAAATCAGCCCATACACAGCCCATTTTGAAATCTATGCAGCATAAGATCCGGACAGACTTGGAGCCTTTGTAAAAAAACTGTAGATGGGAGCTCTATCTGAAATATAGAGTTTTGGGTTCTTATTGGATACCTAATATTTTTATCGATATTGGACCACTATCTAGCATTATGGTATTTTTCATAAATTTGCATTATGGTATTTTTCATAAATTTGTCTAAAGCTTTACGCGGTGGCATCCCTTCAACAATACCTCCTATTATACGGTATTTTTGAGGGTCTCATGTCCGTTCCGCGACCGAATTACTTCTTATTGGTCGACATTTTTATACCCCTCACCACACTGTGGTACATGGTATTATGTCTCTGTGCATATGTTTGTGATAGCCGAAAGATATACCCATGGTTCCTTTTGGGAATATGCATAGAATAACTTTCTGAGTCGATTTATGCATGTCCGTCCATCTATCCGCCTGTAGATGTTAAATTGTAAACAATATACAGGTCGCATTTATGATCCGATTTAGCACAAGTCACTCATTTGGCCCAAGGACGAACCCTATTGAAATTTGAGAAAATCAGTTCAGATTTGGATATAGCTCCCATATATAGTTTCGTCCGATTATAGGTAAATTATGCACCAAACTCCCAATATTAGTCCGATTGTGACAAAATTTTGCACAAAGTACTGAATTAAGCCCAAATTGATGTGTGCCAAGTTTTGTTGAAATCGGTTCAGATTTAGATTTAGATCCCATATATGATTCGTCCGATTTTATGTAAATGGAGTACCATAATGCCCAGATTTGTCCGATTGAGACAAAATTTTGCACAGAGCATTGAATTAGGTCCAGATTTATGTATGCGAAGTTTTGTTGAAATCGGTTCAGATTTAGATATAGCTCCCATGCATATTTTCGTCCGATTTTAAGTTAATGGTGCACCAAACTCCCAATATTTGTCCGATTGAGACAAAATTTTGCACAGAGTACTGAATTGGGTCCAGATTGGTGTATGCACAGTTTTGTTGAAATCGGTTCAGATTTAGATATAGCTCCCTCATATAGTTTTGTACGATTTTATGTATATGGTGCACAAAGTACTGAATTAGGTCCAGATTGATGTGTGCCAAGTTTTGTAGAAATCAGTTCAGATTTAGATATAGCTCTTCCGATTTTATGTATATGGTGCACCATACTATAGATGTTTGTGCGATTGAAACAAAATTTAACACAGAATACTGAATTAGGTCTAGATTGATGCATGTCAAGTTTCGTATTTGATTTTGTATCGAGACAAATTGTGGATAGCGCACTGTGTCCATTTATGTATAGATATTTTACATATTTTCGTCGATAATTGACATTCATTTTTTCACAAATTTCAGAGTGGTACCCAAAGTGGTGAAGGGTATTATATAGTCGGCCCCGACCGACTTTTGAACTTTCCTTACTGTTGTATGGAGGGTATATTAGTTTTGTTTTTCCGTTTGTAACGCATCGAAATAATCATTTCCGACCGTATAAAGCCTATAAATTCTTGATCAGCGTAAAATTCTATGACGATTTAAGCATGTCCTTCTCTCTATCTCTCCGTCTGTTGTAATCACTCTAGCGTCTAAATGAATTGAGATGGATCTCCAAAATTTTGCATAGAGTCGTCTTTTGTCTGCAGGCAGGTCAAGTTCGAAGATGGGATATATCGGTCCATTTTTTGGGATAGCCCCCATATAATGGTACCCCCAAATTTTCGATATTTTGAAGTTCTTGAGTGCGTTTTTCAACCGAATTCACTGAAATTTGGTTCTTTGAGTTTTTTTTAGGTAGCAAATGTTCTAACAAAAACATATAAACATCGGTTCATTTTTTCGGACAGCCCCCATATAAAGGTACCCCCAAATTTTCGGTATTTTGGAGTTCTTGAGCGCGTTTTTCAACCGAATTCGCACAAAATTTGGTACATTGGGTTCTTATTTGGTGCCAAATATCTAAACTAAAAATTATAAACTTCGGTTTACTTTTTCTGATTGCCCCCATATAAGGGTACTCCCCAATTTTCGGTATTTTGGAGTTCTTGAGCGCGTTTTTCAACTGAATTTGCTGTAACCTGGTATTTTGTAGTCGTATATGGTAACAAATCTCCCTACCAAAAATTATTAATATTCACCCCATTTTTGGGGTAGTCCCCATATAACCCCCTTTTTATACCCTTCACCATACAGTGGTACAGGGTATTATGTCTTTGTGCATATGGTTGTAACAGGCAAAAATAATCGAGATAGACCCATGGTTCCTTTTGAGAATATGCATAGAATCACTTTCTGAGTCGATTTATGCAGATCCGATTTGGATGAAATTTGGCACAGTTCACTTATTTGGCCCAAGGACGAACCTTATTGAAATTGGGAAAAAATCGGTTCAGATTTAGATATATCTCCCATATATATTTTTTTTTGTCCGATTTAAGGTAAATGGTTTACCAAAGTATCTATATATCATTCGATTTACACGAAACATGACACAGCGTAATGAATAGGGTCTAGAATGATGTGTGTTAAGTTTCCTGAAAATCGGTTCATATTTAGATATGGTTCCCATATATATATCTTCGTCCGATTTAAGGTAAATGGTGTACCACAGTCTCGATATATACTTCGATTTGCACGAAATTTCGCACAGCGTCATTAATTAGGTCTAGAATGATGTGTGTCAAGTTTCCTGAAAATCGGTTCAGATTTAGATATAGCTTCCATATATAGTTTCGTACGATTTAAAGTAAATGGTGCACCCAAGTACCTATATATAATTCGATCTGCACGAAATTTTGTACAGCGTTATGAATTATGTCTAGAATGATGTGTGTAAAATTTCTTGAAAATCGGTTGAGATTTAGATATACAGTAGTTTTCGTTTATAGTCCACAACTATACTTTCACAACTTTTGTGGACTATAAGCGAATTTGGACTATATCCGAACTTCGTTTTAAGTCCATTACTGGATTATAACTGAATCGTGATATAATACACGTCATGGACTATACACAAAACATGTACTTTTCTAAATAAACTTTAAGTTTATTAAAACAAATTCATATATTTATTTAAAATAAATAAATTGTTTAAACAATAACTTTTTATTTTTTTAATTCAAATGCTTTGAAAGCTTATTGTAACGAAAAAATTAAATTATGAGATCCATTTTAAGTCTTTGGGGGATTAAAAAAAAAAACCGAATTGCTCACTATTTTTAAAAAAAATCTGTAATCTTAGTTTGCTTCTTTTTTATGGAACTTATAACAAACGACTCTATTTTTTCAAAAAATGAGTTTTGTTCAATTTCGTTGTCTGAACAATATCTTCTTAATATTTCAACGGAATCTAGAGCTTCTTTTAAAGTAACTTTGGGTTGCTTGGAATAAAAAACATCAGCAGTGGGTTCCTCCTCATTAAAATTATTATGACATTCTTCAACAGATTTGTCCGAAACCACATCATCCAAAATATCTGCATCATTTAACATTCCATAGCAAATCAGTTCGTCATCACAATGCTGATATTCGGAGGAAAACGTCAAAACTTCGCTTACACAGTTTTCCTCCTCTTCAATCTCAATAGTATCTCTATTCTGATTAAAACCGGCCTGAAAATATAAAAAATAAACGTATTTAGAAATATGAAAAAAAATATTTTTATAAATATAGTGCATACCTTTTTAAAACAGTTTCCAATACATTCAGGCTTAACTAACCACCAGGCCCGCTTTATGAAATGCAAAGCATCCAATATGGTTATTGATTTAATATATTCGGAAACGGTTTTTCCTCTTTCAATAGCACAGATCTGCTTCTTAACAATGATCTGTCTATAATGCTGCTTCAATGAGTGGATTATTCCTTGATCAAGAGGCTGGATTATAGCTGTGTGGTCTTATGACACGACGCATTGTCAATAAATAGGATTATTTTCATTTTTAATTTTTTCATATCTTCCTCCAATATTAAAAGTATTTCATTCCAGATATGAACAGTCATCCAACTATTTTTATTTGAAAAGTATGTAATGGGAATGTTTTTATTTTTGAAACATCGTGGCCGTCCGGGCTTTCCAATCACAAACACACGTTTATAGGAACCTGTTGAGTTACAAATGAAGAGAAGTGTCAAGCGGCTTTTCTCCATTTTCCATCCTTTTGGTGGACTGCCTTTGTTAAAGTATGTTGTGTTTGGTAATGCTTTGTAATATAAACCGCTTTCGTCTCCATTAAAAATGTATTTTGGTGCATATTCTTGAACAATTTTAGGTAACTGGTTGTGTATAAAGTTTGATGCTTCATATTCATCACTGTCCTTCGATTCCCCACTGATTTTTCCAACACATATTTTGTTGCGTTTCTTCCAACGGAATAGCCATGATGTATTTGGCTCAAAATCTTTTTCTAATTTCACTGCAAATTCTTTAGCTTTGTTTAAAAGCATCAGGCCAGTCACCACTGCATTCTGGCCACGCATTTCATTAAACCATATAAGAAGTGCCTTGTCAATATCAGGGTGATCACCTTTTCTTTGACGCAATGTTGTTAGATTGCACGAATTGGAAGCTTTTTTAATTTTTGAAATATTTTTGATTATTTTATAAACTGTTGATTTATTTACTCTATACTTGGCACTCAGTTGTCCACATTTCATATTATTTTCTTCATAGTCTTTCAATAATTTTAATTTTTTCTCCACACTCAATGTAACGCGCGTACCCATTTTCACAACTTCTATGAATCTAGCAATTTTTGACATTTATAAATGTTGCCAGAAATCCAAATGCCATTCAAGTTCAAAAAACTGGGTGGCCTATATGAAAATTTCAAAAAACAGGTGCCAGAAATCCAAATGTCATTCAAGTTAAAAAAAAAGGGTGGCTTATATGAAAATTTTTTCTATGCAATATTAGTTTTGCATGCACAGAAAATGTGGCCTATAAACGAAAATGGACTATAGGCGAAGTGGACTATAGAACAAATAATTTGTATGAATTTGGAAGAAAAATGTCAGTAAATAGTACTTTTTTCGCTTATATCCGTTTTTTGCCTTTAAGCGAAATGGACTATAAGCGAAAACTACTGTAGCTCCCATATAGATTTTTATCCGATTTAAGGTAATTGGTGCATTAAAGACCATATATATCTTTCGATTTGCACGAAATTATGCATAGCGTGCTGAATTGCGTCTATAATAATGTGTGCAAAGTTTCGTGAAAATCGGTTCAGATTTAGACATAGCTCCCATATATATTTTCATCCAAATCGTATCATAAATGCGACCTGTACTTTGTTCACAAAAATAAATGGACGGACGGACAGACATGCATAAAACGACTCAGAAAGTGATTCTATGTTCTCAAAAGGAACTATGATGATTCTATATTCTCAAAAGGAACTATGGGTCTATCTCGATTATTTTTGCCTGTTACAAACATATGCACAAAGACATAATACCCTGTACCACAGTGTGGTGAAGGGTATAAAATATTATGATATGTGAAGATGGGACGAAGTCGGTTACACCCTTCAAGAGTTATCAAACTCAACAGGCAGTCTGACGGACGGACATTTGATTGAATTGGATTTGAGCCATACGGCTCAGGGGATACAATTTTGAACTTGCCCAATAAAATATTGCATACCATTTTAGGCATATTTATCTTGTTCAATATGTTCAATATGTTCGAAGTTCGTATTCATTGTTTTAGCTGAGTCCTATAGTTCATATAAAAATAACGGATTTATTTTTTTCCCAACCTAATATAAAGTTAAGTACCTGATACAACATGTACCCCCAACTAGAATTCACATATTATAAATATTATAATTTAAAATGTTCGTTTGGAAATAAGTTTTCGATATGTTTCAACAATTTTACTCAATAATATGTATTGACCTATTTCTGACATTTTATTTGCTTTAAATATTTGTCTTGATGTAGTTAACCGATATAAGCTGTAAACAACCAACTTTCTTTGTTGTGAAAAATATTATTTTTAAATAGTTTGGCTTCTGTTTTTATACATTTTTTTCAGAACAATTTTCCATTTAATTAGAAAAATAAATAAACATTGAAACCACACAATTTATTCCCGCTAATTATTTACAATGTAAACACATTAGTATTATAACTAATCCACAATTACACAAAGCTAAATACTGACATTATTTTGATATTGTTTTCTACAAAAATTTTCATAGAATGCAATTTTCATATGTATGATGAATGTGTGTATTTGTAAATTTTTACATCTAGGAGCAATTAAATAGCATAATATTGGATGTGGTAAAATTGTGTTTTAACATGATGATAATGAATAATTTTGGTAAATGGATATTTGGAGATTATCTCGTCATTTACATATCTTCCCATTAGTTAGAGATCTGATTATAGGAAAAACTTGTTGAGGCATATTGAGAGACTGAGGTGGTGGCGTAAAGATTTCGAAACACATCGCATAATGGTTAGAATGTAGTATCTCTCTGGCTTTCTTTTTCATTGCAACTTCGATCATTTAGCTCATCTCGAAAGAGAAATTAATAAAAACAATTCAAGGATATTTTTCATGATTTTGATATCCTATAATTCCATTCATGGAAGAGTCCGGATATGGGTGAAATATCGCAAATATCATATTCAACTATCGGGATATAGAACCACGGTAATATGACCTGCAACGTCCGAATTTACTGCTCCTTAGGTATGTAAATTTTGTCCTCCAAATTCATCCAGGTCCATTCGGCTGCAAGCATCAAGTTAGGCAGGAGGAGTAATAAATAAATGCAGCGTAGAGTTCGGGCCTGTAGCTAGCAACGGCATTATTGCGAATTTTAACCAGACCTACTCGGCAGGCCTGGTTAGGTGAGTTCTATCCACCACGTTACGGTTCATATCATGACTAGATGAGTCGATTTATTATAATTTGTAAACAAAGTATAGGCCACAGTTATGAATCGGATAATATTTAGGGTATCCCATTAACCAAAAACTTAATTTTTGGTCTGTATGACCCGAATTCAGAAATTTTTACACGGGGAAGAGGACTGGCGAAAGAAAATTTTAAAAATTTTGCATTCTATGGTTTATGGCACAGTGCCCGAAAGACCTTTAATTCAATATTAATTCCATTCATGAAAGAGTCCGGATATGGGTGAAATATCGCAAATATCATATTGAACTATCGGGATATAGAACCACGGTAATATGACCAGCAACGTCCGAATTTACTGTCCATTGTGTATGTAAATTTTGTCCTTCAAATTCATCCAGGTCCAATCGGCTGCAAGCAGCAAGTTGGACAGGAGGAGTAAAGTAATGTAGTTAGAAACTGCATTATTGCGAATTTTATCCAGACCTAATCGGCAGGCCTGGTTGGGTGAGTCCTATCCACAACGTTACGGTTCTCTTGAAGCACGTCCTTGGCGAAAGAGAATGATTTTCGTCTTCTATTGTCAATAGTCTACCTGCGACATTATTGTGCAACTATTACATTTCTCAGCGCGTGAGTAAAGACCTTTAATTCAATATTAATTCCATTCATGAAAGAGTCCGGATATGGGTGAAATATCGCAAATATCATATTGAACTATCGGGATATAGAACCACGGTAATATGGCCAGCAACGTCCGAATTTACTGTCCATTGTGTATGTAAATTTTGTCCTTCAAATTCATCCAGGTCCAATCGGCTGCAAGCAGCAAGTTGGACAGGAGGAGTAAAGTAATGTAGTTAGAAACTGCATTATTGCGAATTTTATCCAGACCTAATCGGCAGGCCTGGTTGGGTGAGTCCTATCCACAACGTTACGGTTCTCTTGAAGCACGTCCTTGGCGAAAGAGAATGATTTTCGTCTTCTATTGTCAATAGTCTACCTGCGACATTATGGTGCAACTATTACATTTCTCAGCGCGTGAGTAATTCTTCATTGTATAGCAGCAGTATTCGAGGTCCACCGACCGTATAACTGGCCACAGATGAAGCAATCGATTTTAAAGTGGTCTTCTTCCTAAAAGCTTGTTATTTTGTCGCAGATAGTTGTGGTTTGCGCGAATGATTTAAATTTGTTGTCGAATATGTCCCCGATTTTTTTATACCCTTCACCCCACTGTGGTATTGGGTATTATGTCTTTGTGCATATGTTTGTAACAGGCAAAAGGCAACGAGATGGACCCATAGTTGCTTTTGAGAATATGCATAGAATCACTTACTGAGTCGATTTATGCATGTCCGTCTGTTCGTCCATGTATTATTGTGAACAAAGTACTGGTTGCATTTATGATCCGATTTGGATGAAATTTGGCACATGTCACTTAATCGGCCCAAGGACGAACCCTATTGAAATTGGAGAAAATCGGTTCATATTTAGATATAGCTCCCATATATAGTTTCGCCCGATTTTAGGTAAATGGTGCACCAAAGTCCCTATATATCTTTCGATTTGCACAGAAGTTGGTAAATCCTATTGAATTAGGTCTAGAATGATGTGTGCGAAGTTTCGTGAAAATCGGTTCAGATTTAGATATAGCTCCCATATATAGGTAAATGGGAGCTATATCTAGGTAAATGGTGCACCAAAGCCCTTATATATCTTTCGATTTTCACGAAATTTGGTATATCCTATTGAATTAGGTCTAGAATGATTTGTGCTAAGTTTCGTGAAAATCGATTCAGATTTAGATATAGCTCCCATATATAGTTTCGCCCGATTTTAGGTAATTGGTACACCAAAGTCGCTATATATAGCGTATAGCGGACTGAATTAATTCTAGAATAATGTGTGCAAAGTTTCGTGAAAATCGGTTCAGATTTAGATATAGCTCCCATATATAGTTTCGCCCGATTTTTCGTAAATGGTGTATAGCCTACCGAATTAGGCCTAAAATGATGTGTGTTAAGTTTCGTGAAAATCGGTTCAGATTTAGATATAGTCGATTGACACAACGTTAATATAAATTAATCTCTGCCAAGTTTGCTTCAAATCGGTTCGGAATAGATATATCGTAGCTTCCATATAAGTTCGACTTATTTATGTTAATTGTACACCAAATTATCAATATGTGTCTGATTGAGATTAAATTTTAAACAGTGCAGCATACCGAATAGAGTGTCTCAAGTTTGCTGTAAATCGTTTTACACAAATCTTTCCCACTGTGCGCAAGCGACTCTAAAATTTGCCCAAATGAAATGAAATTTAGCATAGTTTCCAGAAAGACATAAAAATCACATATTTAAGTTTGTTCAATTTCATGTCAAAATTCCTTCAAAAAGACGACGTCTTTTCAGATACAGGGTATCATATGGTGAAGGGTATCATATAGTCGGCCCCGTCCGACTTTTGAACTTGTCTTACTGTTTTCTTTTTTTTTTTTTTTTTTTTTGGGATATTAGGTGTCGGAATTGTTTGTTCTTCGACATGAACAAGTCTGAATACTCATGGAGGCTGGCCATAAACCGAGCCATCGCTTTATAAACGG